CAATCTAAGATGATAAAGGGAAAAAACTCCACAAGCCTTAGGCTGCTATTACCACTCCCCAACATTCTTTTTTGCTTCCCCCCAATCACTAGAAGACATCTGACCAGGTTATGATTCCTTTCTCTGGTGCTTGAAGTTGAGTGACTTTGTCTCCCCAAGGATGAGTGGTGTTTGTTCAAGAGTAGAGCTTTCCCAAAGCAAAGGCTGTGTCTCTCTCACCCTCGCAATCTCGGCAGCCAACTCTGCCTCAATCATAGTGGGCTCAATAAATGTTTGTGGAATGAACTACTAAAAGCTCTAAGCAGCTTTCAGCTATTTTAGTCAACTGGCTAACATCTACATGATTTAAATAGCAACTCTGTAAGTTGTATGTATCTTTGAGTTTACCTGTGACCAAAAATCTGAAAACTTTCTGTATTCTTCTCAATGTGTATAGGTATTTTAGAAAACAGAATGTTTCCCAGGACCTATTTATAAATTACTTAAAATCAAGCAGTCTTTTCATATCAACTCTGATTGAAACTTAAAATAAAATGGAAAGGAATTAAAGATTCTAGTACCTCTCACATACTAAAAAAAATATTGATCAGTCAAGAGAAATATTAACCCTTGTAGGCACATGTACTTGAGAAGGTATCCATTTCTATAATTTTTGTCATGAGCAAAATTTCAAACCATTGATAATTAAAAAGTAATTTAAAGTATGTAACAATTTTAACGATGCTTTAAAATTTCATCACCTTTATTGAGCAGAAAAGATAAACTTTTTAACTCATACTTTTAAAAATTATTTTATAATGCAATTAATCTTTATAAAGGTCTCGGCTTAGTAGAAGAAAAGTTCTACAGTAGCTTCTCAACTGCGATGGTCATGTTTCCGAACAGCCTCCTGGGGTTTCCGATAGAGAAAAGTGAAACCTCAGTGGTGGAACAGAGTTAAAGGGACCTGGCTTGGGTAAACCTGATGCACACTGTACTCAGTAAAACAAAGCAATAGGTAGAGCACTTTCAATAAGGATGCTGTCAGTGCAATTTTAGACATACTGTGGAATTGGTTTTCAACCATCCTGTAAGACCTAATGAACAGTTTGGGCCCAAAAGGCTGCTTATAAATGCATTTGACTATTAATGAGAAGAGCCAAGCCTTGCAGGTTCTGAGCACACACCCACCTAAAAGGAGTATCACTTGGTTCCTCAGAACTTTGAGCCAGGTGTACCCATTTCTTACTTGCCAGTAAAGGTTCACTTGGGCATGCCAAAAATCTTTTGTGGCACTTAATTCCCTAATGGTCTTTCTAGATACTGCAGACACTCATTTGATTTTGGATATGGACAGATCCCAGGAGTTTGTATCTGTAGCACCATCCAAGGGTGTAACGAAAGTTTTATTTTCACCACTTTGACCTCATTTGGCTTTTAAATTCTTGAGTGCTTCGTTTTTTTCATGAATTAACATTATGTGAAGAGGCATTTCAGAGTTGATTACTGATCATCTTGGGATGCAGCTCTTGTTCCTTTTTGTCAGTTACTTTTCTTTGCCTATAATGTGGGGGCGGTGTTTGTGGACTGTTACATCAATTGCCTTTTTTAAAAAAATCACCATCTTTACTGGAATCAAATGATTGATCCTATATTCCTGTATACGTATCACCACTTTCAAGTTTGTCTAAATGATTTCTACTTTTGTTTCCTTCACGATTCTTCATCTCTTCTTATCACTTTCAACACTCTGGGAATAATAGGGTAATACTCTATATAATACTTATGAAAACTAAGCCTAGCATGGTAGCCAGGCGGTGGAATGTCCGCACAAGCCAATGGGAAAAGCTCATTGCCCCTTGTGCCATTCAGCAGCCCGCACTCAGTGGTGGGTGGAATTGTTCAGTGCTGACTCTGGAGCATAGCCTTGTTTACAGTTGTGCTTGCTTGAGAATTACTGCCAGTTTCCAGTAATGTTCCTTACTAGCTAGCAATTTCAATGAGAAGATTATAACATCTTTTTCCTTCACTACAGATGATATGCACTTGTCATAGTTCTCTCACCCTGTTACTCTTACCCAACTAATTTTTCACTTCTCTCTGAATTAATGACTTAGGGGAGGCCGACTCTTTTCTCTAGGGTCTCACTCCATCTCCATCCCCTACTTACAATTTTATCTCCACCCTTCTTTGCAGACAAGGGAGTATATTCTCAAAGCTTGAAATTACTCTCCCTGATGTTTCTTAGTATTTCCTAGGACATTGTAACTAACTTATGAACAGCTTCACCAGCTTTTTCTACTCTCAGGCTTGATCCTTATAAGTTGCTTAAAAGTGTATTTCTACAAGTATACACTCAGATTTTGAACAAAGGGAACTCATGATTAAGGAGAAATGAGTCTCTTCGTATTTAACATATTAAATCAAATTTCTAGCTCCTATAAATTCCTAATGCTAGAAAATAAAGATCACTTTATTTCTGATAATTCCTAGATTTTACTTTTGATGAGAAATGAAAGTTATACATATAGTGTAAATGATGAGGAAAAGTATAAAAAACCATAAAAAACTCACATGCTTATTGTTTGCTTATATTGTTTAAAGTAAATTTCTAAGAGATAACTCTTTTATTTATTGCCTTCAATGTCGATGCGCTTTAGATTGTCATAGCAATTTCAGTATGTCGGTTAAAAAGCCCCGAAGGATGCAGAGCATGACCTGTTGTTCAGAGGCAGCTTTTCTTCCACAAGAATATTCATGCGTTTGACCTTAGTCTCAAAGAGATTTGTCATTGGCCCTTCGCAGCCATTCATTAGTATGTTTGAACTTTGCTGTGCTGGTTCTTATAAACTGAGGTGTTTTGGATCACTTGAGGCTTATAAAACCAAGTAAACAGTTCTAAGGGTGTTGAGGATAACTGAAGGGCTAAGGGATGGCAGACGGGCTACCACTGATACAGAGCAGACCAACCCAGACTCCATGACTAATGCCAGGCTCATAGCCATCCTGCCTGCCCCTCCAGGACTGCATTGTCACACTTGCCTTGGACACTGAGCATGCTTATATGTGAGAAAGAGACGGAAATACAGTTTAGTACTTCATTTCTTAGCATATACAGTAGGGGGTTATGAGTTATATTGGGAATCTGCCGGCATTCATCACCCAAACTTGTGTGGAGAGTAATGTTTGTTTATATATAGTTCTGTACATGAGCGGAGAGCCCTCAAAAACCTGGAATTTTTTTTTTATAAAAAATGTGTATTTATTCTTGTATGTTTAAATTTCAGTGACCTTCAAAGTACTCTCCATTTGATGTAACACACTATTGAGACATTTTCCCACTGGTCAAAACAGTTTTGAACTTGTCGATTTTGATGCCTTTTAGTGCTTCTGCCATTTTTTTGTTTCACCTCGTTCACATTGGCAAAATGTTTCCCTTTGAGGACCTTTTTCATCTGGGCAAACAGAAAAGTCACTCAGGGTGAGATTGGGTGAATAGGGAGAGTGGGGCACAGAGGTCTCACCGGTTTTGGTCAAAAACTGCTGAACACTCAGCATGATGTGGTGTGGGCAGGTGCACTCATAAACCACCCATAATGAAATGGGCAAATGCATTAAAACAGTCTTCCCCCCAAAAAAATTCACTGAAGCGAAACTCAGCCTCTCACAACAACACCAGCTGGTACACTGATACAGATGGGTTCCTAGAACACTCACCTAGCAGGAGAAGCATTTATTATAAGGGGCCTGACCTCCAGAAGATAATTCCAGCTTTTTGGGGAGTTCCCCCCTTGTATAATAGTTCCTGTTTTTCATTTTTAGTCCCAGAAGGGAACATGTATGGGAAAGAAGTAAGAGGTCTTGATTCAAGGCCTGATTCTGTAACTGCTTGTTTATTAGACTCTCAGAAATTTAATTTTTTCATCAGTAAAATAGAAATAATATTGCTTCTCATTTTGTTGAGAGGATTAAATATGGTAGAATAAGTGGAAGTTCTTTTTAATCTAAAAACCCATACAGAAATTAAAAATATTGTTTCTTTACCTTGTAGGGTGGTGGTTTTCAATCAGTGAGCTACAAGAATTTTTAAAACTTGCACTACCTGACTATCTAGTCAGGGGCACTGACCTCTTCCCTTAGATTATCAAATAAAGAAATGACAACAGCCAACACAACAACAGCCATCTGGTTGAATGAACCAAATTATACCTATTTTTTTGTCGGATCAACAAAAATATAATTTTTGGTGTGCAGCAGGATTTTAATGACTAGTTTGTGTACCATGAGATGAAAAAAGTTGAAAATCACTGCTTTAGGGCATCATTAAAACCTCTTCTTTCTGTTGTCTATCTTTACCCCACCTCAAATTTAAGTCCAGACTGCCTAAAACCAAACATGATGTTCTTGTATGACAGGCCAGCCAGAAGCAGAAATATGAAAAGGCAGAATCTTAGTCAACTCACGTACTTTGTGCTGATCCTAACTCCCACCCCTCCTTAGCTTGAGTGCCTTCATAAGAGATAAGTTTATTTCGCAACCTCAGAGCATGTAGAACCATCATAGATAGCCATTCTGCTGCATGGATTGAAGCCCCTGCTATGCATCTCACTGGCTGTACGGCCTTTGAGAAATTCTTCATGTTCCCTGAGCCTCAGTTCCCTCATATACAAGGCAAGTATATTATGATGTTCCTCGGAGCTGTTTTTTTGGATTTATAAGAGATACCTGCAAAGGACCAAAGTAAGTGTTTAGTAATTGGTATAGATGGCTATTCATTATATGGAAATTCTGGATACTTCTTTCTCTCAAGTTTCTGGATAGAAGAGATATTACCAAATGTTTTATGATAATGAAGTCAACTTTCATAAAAGGAAGTTTTAGGATTCTTTCAACAGATTGTAACTGGTAATGATCATTGAACTTCTCCTTTGTAATGAAACAAATGATAAACATCTTCATTTCCTTTCTCCCAGATACACATGTATTCACGCACACACTCACTCTGCCCATTTGGTCTTTAGCACAGATGGATATTGTTTCACGATGATAGAAGAAGATGATTCTGGGACACCTGTGGTCACTTCTGGATGTCTGGGACTAGAAGGCTCAGATTTTCAGTGCCGGGTAAGGAAGAAACTTGATTCCACTCTGTAACATTTCCTTGGCTATTTCAAACAGTCAAGCTTCAAGTAAGATAAAACAATTGCTTTCTTTTCCTTTGGCTAACTTTTTTTTAGTAATTGGGAAAATAATTTGAACATTCTTACTGGGCCAATTCTCCCTTCATTTTGCAATTAAATATTTTTATTTTTGTAATTAACCTCTGGCTTAGTGTCCCATTAGATCTTCTTGCTCAAATTCCAATTTAGTTAATTGCATTAAACCAAGCTTTCGTCCTCGTTTTTTACTGTATGCACTGGTTATTGCAAATGCAGTAGTAATTTGGTAGAAATGCAGATATTACAATAAAATAATACATGATGGTTTGAAGAAATTACCTAATAGATAACAATATTTTCAACATGTTTGAGTAAGAATATTGAGTTATTTAAATAATGTTAATTTCTTAAGTTTTAGACTATGTGCCTGTGAAATTCAGGGAACACCCACTGATGGCTTTTTGGGTTCCCCTTTAGGACACTCCCATTCCTCATCAAAGAAGGTCAATTGAATGCTGCACAGAACGGAATGAATGTAACAAAGATCTACACCCTACACTGCCTCCACTGAAAAACAGAGGTAAGGAGCGAAAGGCTGCCAGGCTGGAAAAGCTCAGTTTATTTTCTTAAAGAAAATAAAAATGCACCCTGTCTGGTGTGACTCAGTTGGTTGGTTGTCTTCCTGCAAACCAAAAGGTTGCGGGTTTGATTCCTTGTCAGAGCACACGCCTAGTTTGTGGGTTCGGTCCCCAGCTGGGGCACGTGCAACAGGCAACCAATCGATGTTTCTCACATTGATGTTCCTTTCCCTCTTTTTCTCACTCCCTTCCCTTCTCTCTAGAATCAATAATAGGAAAAAAATTTAAGTAAAAATGTGAATTGTTTTCTCCTTTCTAAATGAATCTACCTGTACCATTCTTCACTGCTGGGACAGAGGACAAGGCAAGAGGACATAATGAAACTGTCTTTCAAAAACATGTGCAAATAGCTCTTGAGAAAGTGGTCTTACATGGCCGTCACTCTCATGAATCTTACTTCTTAATCTCTCCCCTCATCCCCTCAGAAAATACAGTTTCTAGAGCTTGGAGTGTGTTTCATGGGAGCAGAGAAAGGAGGCAGTGTTTTATGCTTACCTGTAAATATTATTCAGAGGTGTATTTCATTCAAAAACTGCTATTTGTCTACATTTATTTTAAAAATAAGGACCTTAAAAAGGACTGAATCATCTTATGCCCTGGATAGCATTTCCTTTCATCTATGCTAGAGTAACTACTTTTAACCAAATCACGTATCATATATTGATAAAACAGAGAAAACATCTACAGCATTTCATGTAAAGATTTATACATTTGAGTGTTTGTTAGTAAAAAAGAAAGATTAGCACCCCAATACTTCTTGTTAAAACCAGCTTTCGCATTTCCTTTCCCTTCCTTTTTTCTCACCACAGAATAAATTATTTGAAGTTGTCACAGAGTTCTAAGTCTTAAATAAGTAGTTTAAAATGATTCTTCATGTCTGATTTTATTTCTTGAGAAAACTTTTCACACAAAATATAATGATATTTCATGGTTTTCATGATAACATTTTATAACTCCTGTTTTTACTATAGCTTAGAAAGCTCTATAAGTTTGATTCATAATAATTCACATTTAAAAAATTTTGCCAGTCAACATGCTATGTGTTAAGGATACAGAAATAGATGAAAGAAATTCTTGCTCTCAAGATGTTTCAGTAGGATATGAAAGAGAAACATGTAAATAATTATATTCAGTCAGGAATATTTCAGCAGTAGAGTTAGATTATAAGTTGCAGAAGAGCAAGGGGCTCACTCTGTCTGAGGTGGGAGGATGTCAAAATAGCTTCAGAGGAGCTTATTCAAGTGATACTTGAACAAGACTTTAAGGGTGAACAGAATTTTGCCAAGCAGATAAAGCAAGAATAAAAATTAAATAATCAAAATGGCTAACATGCCAAACAGTATGATAAATTTGCATTAATTTACCCGTTTGAGCCTCATAACAATCCTATGAGGTACTTAGGATTCCTGTTCCTGTTTAAAGATGAGGATATTGCAGCACAGTGAGGTTAATTAACTTTTTTGAAGTTGCACAGCCTGTGAGTAGCAGTAACTGTAAATAGAGGCAGTGGTAGTGCAGAAGTTTGGTTTGTACAATCGGTGAAACATTCGCAAAATACAGGCACATGAAACAGCATGGCTGGTTGGAGAAAATCTCACTAAGTTGTTTGTTGCCTTTGAAGCCTCACTATGCAGAGTGGACTTGTGGGCCAGCAGCATCTTTATCTCGTGGAGCTCACTGGAAATGCAGAATCTCAGGCCACATCCCAGACTACTAACCTGCACTTTTGAACAAGGTTCCTCAAGCTATTTATGTACACGTTGAAGTCTAGGCAACACTATTGGTAGAAAAAGGCAGGACACATATTGTTCATTGAGAAGTTCACTGAAGTTGAATTGCAGTAAAGTTCTAAGTGCTGACTTTCAATTTTCATAGTTATTTCTTTTTGAGTCTGTTTCAAAAAGTAGGTGGTCTGTGGACAACATTTTGAATAACCCTGATATAAGGGTCTTATGTGTTGGGAGTAGGGGAAGGAGGAGGGTGAGGAATATCTGGAAATGAAGATAGAAATGCTAGGTTTTAGAATCTCTTTGTCAAGGTGATTAGGTTTTTCACAAGCAAGTGGAAGTGCCGCTGTGTCTTAGAAGTAACAATAGGGTTTAGGATAATTCTGACCTCTTTTCAGGTGCTGAAAGGGCTGCAGTGCATAAATTGTCCTGTAGATGGAGCCAAATTCTAAAGTCGACCAGGCAGGAGAAGGAGTACTCTTTGAGGTGGTTGAGGATGTAGGGACTGTTTAAAATAGTGGAATAAGTCTCTAGAGAACTGACTGAAAAGCTTGGAAAAGAAGGGCAGCAACACTGAGAAAACAAGTCCTTGGTTCAGGCATTGGGAAAAGGTTGCAGATGGATTATAGTGAGGACTATACCAAGTGATAGGCTTGGGTGGAGTTTAGTGGCGTTATGATTAACTGCTTTCATCTCTGAGGATGCCGGGGGTGCCTAGGTGAGGCCTCGCCAGATTCTACCTCACCCTTTGGCACACTCACTTCGGTGTGAGGTGAAAGTCTTGCAGACGGTCGTCTGAAGGCACTGACATTTTTTACATACTTGCACCATAGAGCTGCTGGAGGTTCCTTGTTTGTTTTGCCTCCATCATATATAAGGTTTTTACTGGAAGTGCACTGTATGTTTTTACTGGCTATCAGTGATGCTTCAAAGTTGCAGCCATATTAGTTATGTCCACATACGACACGTTAACCTAAACATAAAAGGCCAAAGTGAAAGGCAACAGGCGTTGATTTGAGATCCAAAAGAACAGCTGTTCGGGAAGCATCAGTTCAGGCAGAAATGCAAACTGCTTGCCTTGGGAGGTGAAGGTAAGAAGTACTGAAGAGAAAGGGACAGCGAACAATTATATGAATATAAGGAAGAAACTTCTGTAAGTGCAGATAAACTAACATAGTGATTCTAATTCTAAAGAGTGTCTTTAAGTTTCATATCTGCTTTCTTGCTAGCCTTGCAAACAGTTATTTATAACACACGCCCTGCTTTAGGCTCAGTGTTAACGTCCCCAAGGTCTGAGGAGGAAGACTTGAAAGCCTGTTCTTCTCGGATGGCAGCTCCGACTCCATTTTGAAATGGCTCCATTTATACTATTTTTCACAATTCCTATTAGAGATATGTGTTTATATGGTTCGTATAAAACCCAAAATAAAGAACAGGGATGGTGTTAAAGAGTTATAGAACCATCTGCTCTTTATATTTTTAATTTTCACTTTTTTTTAAACACTCAGGACTATCCCTAACGTGTGGGGTTGGGCAGGGGTATAAATGTAGGTCCACCTCGCATTTATCTGCATATTTAAAACATACGACCAAATATAGCAGACTGGTAAATAAAATACATTATATTCACTTAACAAATATATTTTTATAATGGGGAACACCAGCTTGGCATTTTGGATGCTGGAACTACTGAGACATCTCCTCCCCATCGGAGGAGTGTGAGTGATGAGGAGCCAGTCTCCGTTTCTCCTGCCCTTTGAGGGCCTCACATGCACGCACATGGACACCTGTTTTGTTTTGGTCTCAGCCTGTGGATGGTGATGCTGTCAGCTGGGAATGCCTGAGCACTCACCTGGGCGTCTCACTTGTGGCAAGGCCCCCATGGATGTTTCTGTCTGAAGCCAATGTTATGGCTGGACAGGGCCTTATGGTTCTTATTAGGATTATAGGACTCACCTCAGCAACAACCATCCAGGAACTTAGAAAAACAAAAGATTTATTATTCACAGGTTCTCCAGGGTATAGGGCATGCCTGAGGGCAACGCCAGGTCATGTGTAGAGAGAGGGTGGGAGGACTCTGCCTTTATGGGGGCTGATGGTAGGGTGCCTAGGATTTCACAGGTTCACTCTTCATTGGTAAATTAAAGCATAAAACAGGAATTAGGTTAGGGTTCAGTTAAGAATAATCAGGTTTCCTCAAGTGGTCCTGAGGTTATCTAGATTACCCAGGGCTTTCTGAAAGGGAACTTCCTGGGTAGTGTGGCCTGGTTTCTAATCTAGTTGGTTTACCAGTAGCTGTGTCTCGCAGCTGGCAACATGGTATTCAAGATGGGAGTCTTAGGATGGACGCCTTGGCAATTAAAGAGTTTGATACCAGGCACTTACACTTAAACACTTTAGCCCTCAGTTTACAATCCACTCACATGTGTCCCTCCAGCCACCACTGGGCACCCTTCAGGACTTGGGGTACACACACCTTCTGCTTAGTCCACTCTCAGGGGGACAGGGATAAAGAAGGGAGCCTCACAGTTCCTGGACACAGACACAGACATGAGGCCCTTCAGACAGGCCATTCCAGACATCTGGGCACTGGCCAGTGGTTTAAAGGGCTAATGGGATGGGACAGGGTCTGAGTGATGGCTTCCTCTGGGGCCTGCAGAGCCGTCCGTACACAGAAAGGGGCATGGTGGCAGAGAGCCCGAGCAGGGCCTTGTAGCTCAGAGCTTGGATGGACTTTCTTGCCTAAGGGCAATAGAAATTATATACTAATCATGATCATTTGCTTATGTGAATGGAATACATACATACTATGGCTTTTTTTAAAGTACTTTACGTATACTAACTCATTGGATCCTCATAACAACCTGAAGAAGGCACTGTTGTTATTATCCCTATTTCACAGATAGGAAAGCTGAGGAACGCTGAGGTTAAAGACTGTGTGAAGTTTACGTAGCTAGAATTAGTGGTGGATGTGGGAAACAGGCCAATGATGTCATCTCACAGAATCTGCTATAGGAAGCCCTGAATGATATTCTCAGAAAAAAGTGCTTTCACCCAAGTACCTTTTAAATTCCAAGTAAATGCTGGTTAGCCATTTCACATGACAGTTGATAAACGATCAATATGATTACTTTCACAGTAATCTGCTCTTTCTGTTTACCACACACAGTTAGAATGTCGTCAGGCACGCATTAATTGATAGTTTGAGAATATGG